AATTAATGGCCACTGAAATTAAGATAAAATATGTACAATAAAGAGTAATATATCGGACCACATTCATAAAGCTACTTAACTGAGCACTCAAACAAATTGCCAAGTTTTATGAGAACTGGGTCACCTTTAGCAGTAATCTAACAATTCATTTGGCTGGCATATCTACAGTCAAACCCTTAAAAGCATAAACAATTATATGCAATAACATGTACCATACACTACAATAATCCAGCATTTTCATGCTGATTAACTAAAGTATTATTGACAAAACAGATAGAACAGTTACTGTGCACCAGATGTATTCACTCCTACCAACGTTAACCTACAAAGTTATTCAGCTTATACTGCAAAAGGTTAACACCCATAAATAAAGTAATTATTAAATCAGATACATTTACAACACCAAAAATGAAAGTATTGGAGTTTGGTTAAATGCAGACAACATTTAAAGAAACATATAGTATGCTATTTAAACATTGCTTGTTTTCACTTGGTTTGATAACAGTGAGCATACACAATCAAACTTTACAACAAATAACAACAGGTTTACATTAATCAATGAATACATTTCACACAATCTAATGGTAAAATAATTAACAAGACTACCTTTTTATATATTAAAGAACAGTATTTAATGAACATGAATCATTATAAGAAGTTTATCAAAATAGTTTGTTGACTGAAATGGACACTTTCAAATGTTTCTCGGTCTAAACCATGGGTGCCTTAATTTTCAGTAAATTTATCTGAGTATACAATTAACAACAACTTTACACCTTGCAGTGCTTTACCAAAGACATTAAGTGCGAGATACAGGAAGTACCTGTCTAGCTGACAGTACCTAAATATAATTTTACAGTCTACTGACTCAGTAGGTGCATTCTACATTATATTTGGAAAAAAAGATTATCAATGTTCACAAGAGTGAAAGATAAATTCCTTACATATTATTATTGTTGCTAAAGAAAAACGTATGCTGTAAAAGTCTGAAAATCTTCAAGATTAAAGAACGTCTGATGATATTTATACTAAAACTTTGAAGGATTTCATGAAAAGTTTGAAGACAAATAATATGGTACCTATTTTTAAGACCCATCACCAAGAAAAACTCAGCCTGATATGGCCGCACCTTTTTTTATTTATTACTGATTTGACAACTGACTACTTTTACGCTTTCTATTGCAGTTAATATGCATCATAGGCACAGTGTACAAGTAATGGATCACAAAGACGACAAACATGGCATGTTCCTTTCATTCATTTTTCGTGTTCATCACATACTCTGACAGTTACTACTGTTTCCATGCTTCCTGGTATCCGATTGAAAATCTGAAAGTTTGGTTGAAATCAGCTGAACTAATATTGCTAAACTTTTTACTAATAATTACTATTGTGCTTTTTCAATTATATGTTTCATAATGTTTTTGGCCAAATGTTTAGTAAAATATCCTACATTTTCGCAGCCGTGGGTATTAAGAAAGAAAGTTACAACACATTATTTTGTCTTCTTTTATAAACAACATGTGGAAACAGTGAAAGAGATTAAAAGAAATTTTAAAAGTTGGCTTTCATTAAATAATCATCAATATAACTTTTGTAAAGTGATTTTTTTGTTTCAGTATCATGGTAGAATTTTCTTAAAACATTTTGTGTGTATGTGTGGATAAATGCACCCTGGTAGTTCTGTCTCTCTGAACTTCGGAAAGCCTTTTATTATAAAATTCCCAAAATCTGTATTAGAAAGTTGGATTTATATAGAAATAGTTAAAAAATAAAAATTGGGTTGAATAGTGGCTCTGTGATAGATAGCAAACTTTTGTGTCAAAATAAACCTGACTGGAAGATTTTCACAAGCCTAATAGTTAAAGGATCTATTTGGAACCTCCTATTATTCATTTGTGTGGTCATGATCTCTATACCTTCTTTCAGTAAATTAACCATATTTTATGATGAAACTAAGCCTTTACAGTATACAGTTGTTCTTTAGTTCAATAGAGCCTTCACAGTTTGAATGAGTGCATGATAACTTCAAAAATATTTCAATAATAAACAACAAAGTGCTTGATGTAAATTAGTTTGAAATGTCTTTGTTTTCTTTGCAAGAACATTGGTTTTGTTAACAAAGTGAATGACTTAGGTGTGCCGAGTGATAAAGGCTTGAAAACACCTGTATAACTGAAACTATGGAATGGAATGTGTCATGTAGATTAAAACACTATACACACACACCTTAAATTTTATAGTCTTGTATGCAAGATATACCACCTAGATGCAGACAGGGTTAGCAAGTAATGTATACCTTGAAATAATAGTAATAATTCATAACTTTACAAAGAAAGTTAATCTTCTAACAATTTGAACTACAGTCAGAAGTTGTGTGTGTGTGTGTGTGTGTGTGTGCGTGATTATTCTTTTGCCAATAGGTCAGAATTGATAATCAATAAACTGGGTTGTTTATAATGTATAGCTTCAGTACCATAGTCACATATAAGGGCATGTAGCATATATCCAGGAAATAAACCAAACGAAAGGTCGAAAATGAGGCAGAACATCAAAAACTGTTAAAACAAACTTTAGTAAGGATTGTGAGTGAACCTGATAGTTGAAACATACAGCTCCATTCTCTAACACCAATATCATAAATTCAAGCAAATGAAAATTTATTTATAGCTAAGTCACATCCCTGTGGGTTAAAGCTGATGACTACACTGTAAAACAATCTATCATACCACACTTATGATGAGGTAGATCTCATTTTACTGTATCGTGAGTCATACAACATTTTAAATGATATGCTGCTAAAAATGTTCATCTGGTGTGTTTTCATCCATACATGTGTATGAAAAACCAAAAAATCAGTATTCCTAACAACTTAAGAAAGCTTCTAAAACTACATTTACCACAACAGAAAAACTCAGAAATCACCTACTCTATACATAAGTTAAATCAGTTAATTCCAGAATAATGTAAACATTCATATGCCAAGGTCTTTTGGTCCATTATACATTACCATTTGATCTTTTAAATTTTACAGTCCAAATTAAACCTTTCTTTTGTACATTTAGGAAACTTATGTCAGATAAATTCCTTCAATTATTTATGATTAATACATTAGGTTACTAAGTAGATTAGCTAATCATAATATTGGCAAATCTAATATTTTAGTTCACTATTAACAATAAACTGAAACCACTTTTTGTTTTCAGCAAAATGCAAAATTTTCATAAACTCATTAAACAGATTTATAGATGTGAAACTGAAGCAATTATAATTTAAACTATAAAATAACAAACCTTTCCATGTCATCTGCAGTCAACAAAAAAAAACGGTTTGTCTTATTAAAAATGTAAAGAATGTAGTAAAAAAAATCCACCTATCCTGTTCAGAATTTGAAATTGGGAACTCCAATGTGAAATTAGTTTACTTTTAGCAAATGAGCAATCAAAGAGTTGGTTAACAGCAAGAGTATTCATCTATTATCTCTATGTACGTTTGGCTATTGTTTTCATTTTCAATTATATGGGTGTATTCTTTCAAGCAAGTATAAATGTACATTTGTGTGCGTCAATGTTGATTATGTATCACCTTGACTGAATTCAAAACTTTCAAAGAACGTTGTGCAACCACCATTTTAATCATGCAAATTTTACATCATTCAAACTTTGACTCATTCATAAGCCAACAACACCATCCAACTAATGAACTAGTCATGCATCTATATTGTAAATAGATTACCTTCAGAACAAAAGAAAAAAGTACTGTGAGAGAACATCATTCGGCCCATTAAAACTAACTTTACCCATCAAAACAATAAACTCAATCAAAATGCAGTCCTTTGCATTCAAACATCTATTCAATAAACATTTCCATAAACAATACTCAAAGCACACATTAAATCCTCACAAAAATCATTTCACAAGTCTGTAAATTCAACAGAGATGTAAATTTATGAAAAATGTTTGAATATTTACTTGCAAACTTTATATGATTACCTCTAATAATATTTAATTTTGTATTTCCAACTTTATCCTTCCCCAAGCCAAATAGACTTCAAATAAATAAATAAATAAATCTAAGTCCTGAATAATTTTAATTCTGAATTGAGTCATCTCTATTTTTTCCACAATGGAACAAAAAAAAGTGGAAATGCAAATATTAATATCAGGAGTCTAAGTTTTTATACAGTATAGCATTTCCCTTCAAAAAACAAGGAATGTAAGAAAGTTTGTTTCAACCTATAAAGTCAAAGCTATAAAATAGTAATTCCTTTTAAGCTGAACATTTTCACTCAAGCTTTTGTTTATTATATAAAAACAACATGATACAATATTTAGTAGTTAACTGGTTAAGCTGCTGATTTAGGTAAATCAGAAAGTACTAACTAAGCTATAATATTTTAAATTTTATGTATTAATAATAACGTTTAACTATTAGGTGTATGTTATTTTTAATAAACTAATGTATTGCCATACTGTCTAACATTACAAATTACACAATTTTCATATGCTCGTTTCTTATTTAAAACGTTATAACTCCTTGGACAGGTTATTCTTATACAAGTTATGGCCAAATATTGTCCAATAATAACCCTAACACCTAACTACAATTAATAAATTATATTAAATACTAATTCCTAGTACTAGTAATTCACTACTTGTAATTGTATTAATACTATTAGTATTACTAATAATAGTACTAGAGTAGAAATACTATAATAATGATAATAAAAAAAGTTTATCACCAGACTCGCAAATATACAAGTTGAGCCCTTTATCTTACCAAAATCATATGAAATTATATTTTTACTAACGTTAGAAATACATATATTGATATAATAATTAATATAGCTTTTATGTGGCACTATTGGTATCAGGAATTTACTGTTTAATTTAGTCATTCTTAACTTAAGTTGACCTAGGCCTAAAAAAATATCACAAGACGTATACATGGTATTGTAAGTTGTAACACTAATAATATCTAACGACGGTAGTATTACTTACCTTGTAAAAACGAATAATCCTCTTCACATGTGACGTTATTATCCTCTTGAAAACAGATATCTGCAAGTTCAAAGAGGAATGATTGAGAATAAAAATATCACACAGGTAAAGTAAAACAACAACACAAATATTATCTCCAAAAAATTATTTTCTCACGAATCTCACCCGCCATGATGGATAGAGCACGAGGGAAATGTCACTTCAATTTCATTGGACCATACTTTTTTTTTAATGCTTGACTTCATTGGTTATCAAATGTTGTATATGTTATAAGAAACACCCACCAACATTTATTGCAGCAATATTGTACAACTTTAAACTTTTAAAACAAGCAAACTTGTGAAGAATCATTCAGTCAACAACAAGAAGTTATTAACATATTTTCCTAATAAATGTAAAGCTGCTAAAACAACTAGAAACTTTTCATTTTCTCATAAAATTTTATTTCTTTTAAAGTATAAAAGTTGCTTATCAATGGGGTTCTGAGTCCGCTTTACTTCACCATATAGTAACCTAAATTAATTTAGATATGTGAATAATATTTTGACATTTCGTCGAATTTATTATCCGATATCATACATAAATATTGAAACATAAGAGTTGATTATTTTTGGCAAAGAAAGAAATGTAAAACTAAGGTTTCAATCCTAAAGTACATTTTCCCTTTTTTATCCTTTTTTTATGTTTAGGGGGGGGGGGCAACACACACGTGCTAAATTGGTGCTTCTCAACCTTTTCCAATATCATTCACCCTTATAAGTTGTTCACAACAGCTTACCTCCTTCACTTCGAAAAAAGACAAAAAGTACTAAATGAAAATGCAAAATTCTTTATTATGACTTAAATATACATCAAACTAGAACTAGAGTTAATACAACACAAAATAAACAAAAAATAAATGTATTTTTCAAACTACAACTAGAATAAATAATAATAACTAATGACTTTTTTTGCTCTTGAATTTGGTTTATACTTGATAATACTCATTCACCCTGATTCTGATCTCATTAAACCCTGAGTGAACTATTCACCCAGTTGAGAAGCACTGTACTAGCTAATGAAATCGATAAGGTATATATTTAAAAATTTTCTCCATTTTTGCGGTAAGATTTTTGCTTGAGGTTGCCAAGGCAAGTTACTGAGAAAGCACGTACAACGATTTTTACACATACACAAAACTAGCGACACAAACTTTTTACCCCTTAATTGTCATAGCCAAAGCTAAGCGTAAATTTGGTTTTGTCTAACGTTTATGATATCATATATACATTCAAAATCTGAATTTCATAAGAATGTAAACGTAAAATTGTCCTGCAAAACTATATAAATATATATTGTTATTATTGTAATGATATTTACACGTCATTCAACAACTGCTTCTACCTTTGGCTCAAATAAATAACTACAGTCTTAGAATATAATATATCAGTTATATTTGTAATACAATTAACTACCCCTCCCCCCCCCCCTATGAGGAGCATTCCTTCTCTAAACACACGTGCATTTGCTCACCAGTTAAACAATGTGATTTTTGCCCAGTAGAATTTTACTTGTATTGTATGAAATGGCATGTTTATAATAATCAAGAAAACTTTGTTGTGAGACTCTAGTAAATACTAAAAATATAACAATATACTACTGATTTTTTAATAAAAAGTTATATACTACTAAGGACATTTTATGCAATATGTTGTTCTTGTTTGCTAATTTGTTACCACGGGATATGTCATATGACTACCTAAGAAAACATCGTTCATGAGAACTTTCTGCGATAAACTTTGAAAGAATTTCGAACAGAATGTTCACTAAGCGTTACTCTTTAAGTGCAAGCAGGCAATCGCTTATGGCAGTGGTGGAATGTTTCCCTCAAAATGTTTTGTTAACGAATCATAAGTCATTACGAGGAAAACAAACAGCAACTGCAATAATACTTATCGGTTATTTAACTGTCAATCTGAATTCCAAATTTCCACTGCTAAGATATATGCTATTAGTAATCTTAAGTCAAACATTTGCAAATGCAATATGTACAAGTAACCTGATCAAAGTTCTTTAATATTATCAATTTTCAAAATTTGCAGAGCGTTGAGACCACATTTTAAAATAACGACTAAATTCTGTAAAATGTAATTTATCTAAATAAACTCTTTTTTTTTTTAAAGACTCTGTACTTTCATCTTTAAGAAATATGATGCCTGTAAATCACAAAAATGTTTTGCAAACATCATCAACCTTCAAAAATGTTGCACGTTTAAAAACAGTATATGCTGGTGTCTGGCCATGTCCATTTGGCTTATCAAATCGTCCGATACACGAATGTTTAAATGGACATTCTCATGCTTCTGACAAATTTGATACTAAAAAAAAAAAACACCCACAGCAGAGCAAGATATCACCACATACAGTACACAAGCTGTATCACCATGTGATAGTTTTCTATACAGAAAGATAAAACAAAAAGTTTCTTATGAATCAATCTAAACGCCTTTGTAAAACTTTTAACAGTTCTGTATCTGGCTTGAACCTACTTCTAATAATCTTTGGTAGGAACCAACTTATTAATTATTATGCGTTATACTTTTTATATTCATATACACTTTCACTAAAATTGCAATACAATTTTGGTAAAATATTTTATTCGTGTTTTCTCTTTCGAAACACTACGATAGTTTTATATTTAAATAGGTTCGCATTTCTAAGCATATATGTTAAATAATCAACATATTTTGAATCTGTTAACAGGATTTGTAGCTATAATACACATTTATAATCATGCTAATTCTCTATTATTATTACTCTCTTTATATATTCTCGAGCAAATGAATTACATTTGTATTTCCGAAAAAGTATCATAATTGACCTAAACATTTTGATATGTATTTAATGTATTTTCTCCAAGTACTCGAAGTTGTTTATTTTTGACATTCTATCACATTAAATTGTTCAAGCTGGATTTTCCAATGTTATATTATACTTGGCTTCTCTCCACGCTATGTAATTTTGTTGAACTACTGTTTTCGTGTGTTATTGTGATTTAAATTTCATACAATACTTGTAGTGTGTGACACTGTGAACTTTAAAAAAAAAAGTGTGTGCTGAAATATTCTGGACACCATTTCAAATAAAGTTCTTTACTATTTTCTGGCAATTAATTGATGAAATATAGAAATACGTCACACTTGTTACACTTTTATGGAATGCACTTATCATCCCCCCCCCCTCCTCAGATACGAAATGGTTTCAGGAGTTCTTATGATGAAATTAGTTTCTCTAATCCCCACCAGGCTGAAAGACGTTTAACTAATGATTCTCTCTTTATATATAAGACGATTTTGCCAAGAATGTTGTTAAACTTTCTCTGAAATGTATGTTTGAATAATCATGTGATTTTTGACCAGTCTTTTATAACTGTTATTACAGCAAATTGACGTAAATATTTCTGCTTAACGCAAAGCTACAAAATGGGCTATATATGCTGCGTCCTCCACGAGTATCACGAGTGTCATTTTGCACCATTATGTCATATTTTGTATTTAACAAAACTGTCATGTGAACTTATCCATATTTGGACACCCAAAAGTACGTACGACCTAGTATATTAGTCTTTCCTTTCTATATTATGTTATAAATTGAGCAAAAACTCTTAATTAAAAGCATTTATCCCAAAAATATGTATGATCTATCAGTCTCTTCGATCTTAACGATGTCATGTCATTAATGTCACCATATAAATTCATGCTAGCGATAATCAACATACCAATAATCAATATAATAATTAAAATTAATAACAGAACACAATGAACTGCAAAACGCTGTCAATTTTACTGCTATTTTTTAATAACAGGTGTGTCTTTTTACCGATCATATTGAACAACTATCACTTTTATTTTCAGCAAATCAATGTCATGTCAATTCCAGTTCAAGGTACCTTTTATCAATTTCCGTGCGAAACTTTGGTTACTAATAATTTAGCTCGAGCTGTGGAACGTCAGTATGACACACAGAGGCAAACCCTATCAAAGAAAAAGTTGCATCGGGAACATTAAACCCGGAAGTATTTGGGATAACACAAATTTGTTTGTTGTTAAACGCAAAACTACAGAATTAACTATCTGTGCTCTGTCCATCGGGGTTATCGAAACCCGATTTTTAGACATAAAAAACACAAAATATTGTGTAGCTTTTAAAGAACAACAACAAAATTAAACGGAACAAACTGTTAGAAGTCTTGATATTGGAGAAACTAATTTTGTCACATTCGTGTGTCCTCTTGAGTCTTACGTTGCCACGTTGAAAACAACATGAGGCTGAAGAGGACACACGAATGTGTTGAAACTAGTTTCTCCAAAATCAGTACTTCTGTCAGCTTCTTCCTTTTCATTTTTCTTGTTGTTCCAGGTTTTTAATGTTATAAACCCTCAAACTAACCACTGAGCCACGAGGGAAAAATAACAGCACAGATAGAAGTCTGCCGCATTGCGCTTTCCCAAAAATAGTGAGTGGATATATCTATTCTCCAGTCTGGTCTGCATTTTAAATTTGAATGCTAGAGGCTACTAAGTAAAGTTCATAAATTCGACACAAGTTTTGAGGCTTTTTTGTCTTATTCTAATTTTTTTTCTCGAATTATTGGTTTTATTAAAGAACACGAAAATTTGATGTGTTTCATTAAGATTTAATTTTAGTAAAATGTCTGTTGAATTCTCGCGCAAAACTAATAAAGGAATATTTGTGCTAGGCCGTAACTAATTTTTGAAGTGATAGACTAGAAGGAAGGAAAATATTCAACATTACTCACCACCAACCCTTGCGATGCTCAAATCGAAGAGTGGGATCTGTTCGTCATTCTTGTAATCCCATGGCCCTAAAAGTGTTGAGCCATTTTATTATCTTTCTTCCTTTTTTGCGGTAAAGGAACACAAACCATGGATCAAAAGTCCGTCACATTAACCACCAAGCCATTAGGATCTTTGTTCGTCGAGTTATTATTCGAATAAAGTGGAACTTCATGGAAGAGAATCTTCTCACGAGAAATTCAAATATAGATACTTTCTACTTTAGAAGATAAATACCGTATTTGTTGGAAAATATTTCAAAATGTATATGATTCAAGACAACTCGTAGGATACAACAGCTATGATTTTTACACTAATAAAATCAAACAATTTTACTTTATTCCATTCAATTTAT